TTATGTATACTTTTAATAATCAGGGCAAAAAAATGTAGCTGCCCATACAACAGCAAGATGCCTTTACCTATATGAAAAGTATGGTCACTGGTGCATGCAGTGTCCTAGATAGTGAGGGGGATGTCCAACTGCCGGTTTAGGCCTGATCCCCACTGGCCTAAACCAGCAATCGGACAACATCCCCCAACGGTGCAGGCTGGGCAGAGGGGATGCCACCCTCCACCCCCCGCTCCTCCCCTGCATGAATTTTGTGCACCAGGCCTCTAGTATTATATATTTCCTTTCCATAAGAAGTCTATCCTGTATAATTTAAGAAACAATATACCAAATGATTTACTATGTCTTCTCTGTGATCATTATGAATGCCTGAACTGCTTATTGGTGATTGTAGGATTCTTTGTCCAATGAATGGTTTCAGATTACTGAGTTTTTAAAATATTTGTGTTTTGCTCTTCAAATTTCTCTTCTCTTTGCTGTCAATGAGCCTGCTTGTTCTAGACATACTTCCTGCCTTCTAATACTTCCGATTTTCTGTGTGTGGGTTTGAAATCAGACATACTCAATTTGTGTGGAAAAACAAAGTGTGGGCTCTATGTTTGCATGATTTTGATGATGTGTATCTAAGCACACAGAAGCTGTGTATTTCTGGTTCTGTCTTTATTCAACCTGATCATGTAGATTGATGGATGAAAGGTAACTATATTGTGACTTGTGTTGGACTGGAAAAGTAAAAGGTCTTCAAAATATACTTAATACTTTATTTTAATTTTTATCTTTGGTGCCATCTCGTAAAACCTTTTTTTCATTTAGGTCCAGTGAGAATAAGATGGATAGCAGCAATCTTGCAGTGATATTTGCACCAAATCTTCTTCAGACAAGTGAAGTACATGAAAAGATATCTGCCAACACAGAAAAAAAGCTACGATTGCAAGCTGCAGTAGTACAGACTTTTATTGATTATGCATCAGATATTGGTAAGATGTAGTTGCATTATTAAGTAACTAGAGGCCCGGTGCATGAAATTCGTGCACGGGAGAGGGGGCCTGCACCCTCTCCAATCTGGGACCCCTTGCGGGATGTCTGACTGCCGATTTAGGCCTGATTCCTGCGGGATTGGGCCGTTCGGAAGTCAGACATCTGTCTCACCATCCGGGACCGCTGGCTCCTAACTGCTCACCTGCCTGCCAGCCTGATCACCCCTAACCACTCTGCCTGCCTGCCTGATTGCCCCTAACCACTCTGCCTGCCTGTCTGATGTTTTTAACTGCTCCCCTGCCTGCCTGATCGCCCCTAACCTCTCTGCCTGCTTGCCTGATCGCCCCTGACTGCCCTCCCCTCTGGCCTGATCTCCCCTAACTGCCTCTGCCTCAGCCCCCGCCACCGTGGTTTTGTCCGGAAGACGTCCGGTCTAATTAGCATATTACCCTTTTATTAGTATAGATGGGATTTATTTAAGTGAGGGAGATCCCAGCTTCTTCAAGTGAACTCTGAAGACAACTGTTAGAAAGTTGGTATATACTATTGAAACATTTCGGGGGAGAGAGGGGCAAGTAGAGGAAAGATCTTAATTGTGAACATTTTCTTTTAGGACATGTTCCAGATTTTATCATGGAAAAGATACCGCCTATGTTGGGTATTGATGGTCTCTGTGCTACTCCATCACTGGAAGGCTTTGAAGAAGGTCAATATGAAACTCCTGGTGACTATAAGAGAAAGCGAAGACAAAGTGTAGGAGGTAAGGAGCAGTGACAGTTTGTTTTAGGGAGGTATAGCAATTTGCTTTATCTGAAATTCGCTTGAACATAAAGACGTAGAAGCTATGGTGTATGCCATTTTGGTGCTTACAGCATAGTTAGAACGGCATGACATATGCATGTGAAAAGTAAAAGTGACAGTATAATCTAATATTAAGTGCTAGATCTTCAGCACAAACCAAATGAGAAAAGTTCCCAGGGTTGTAATGGTCAGGGCTCTTCAAAGTGAGCCTTCTCGAAGAAAAGGTAGAATGTAAGGGGGATTGGGTGGAGGACCAGGATAATTGTATCTCACTCTAGATGAGAAGAATGCTATGAAAAAATATTTCTGTAAGAAAGAAGTAATCAATGTCTGTAAAAAGACCAACGTGACTTGAAGTGTTCATCCTAAGGATTAGGATGATATGGTGAGCTCAATGTCAGGCTAAAGAATTAGAACATTGAGTATTAGAGAACCATTGAAGTCATAACATGATTAAAAATACGGCAGTCCTTGGGTTACATCGAACTCGACGTACATCGCCATCTCCCATTTATTAAAAAATAAAAAGTTCCATCATTTCGACGTATGTACATATGTACTTAGTTTTTTATTTATTTACCACAAGTAAAGGTCAGGAATTGTTATCTTTCTTTTAAATTTTTTTTACTGTTTCAATTCATTACTGCTGTGTATGTGCTCCATGTGAGTGACGTAGGTGCTTATGTAGGTGGGTTCCGACTTACGGTGAAAATCGCATTACGTCGCGCCCTAGGAATGGATCTCCAATGTAACCCGAGGACCTACTGTATTTTAGAAAGTTATCTAGTTTGAAGAACTGAGACTTGGAGGTAGGGAGAATAGTCAGAAATGTGGGGCAATAATCCAGGTATGAGATAATGATTAGTTAGGAATATGAACTAAATAATGTGGGAACATTACCAAGGAAGAAACAAAAAAATCCAGGGTTCCATTGTAGTGAAATCAATTATAATACTTTTCAGCTGCTTTTTTTTAATTTAATTTTTTAAATTCTCACCTGAGGATATTTTTTCCATTTATTTTTTAGAGAGTAGAAAGGAGGGATGGAGAGGTAAGGAGAGGGAGAGATATGAGAGAGACACATCGATAGGTTGCCTCCCGCATGCATCCTGACAGGCCAGGGATTGAACCCGCAACCTAGGTACATGCCCTTGATGGGAAATAAAACCTGCCACCTTTCCGTGCGCAGGCTGATGCTCTAAAAGTGCTGAGAAACACTGGCCAGGGCCGCATCTCCTTGATGAAGAAGTCTGTGGCCGTATCTCCTCCAATTATCTTGGAAAATTTCTTATCTTTTGAGTATTGGAACCAGTTGTCATTAACTACCCCATTTCTTTTAACTATTGGTTTATATAGTATTACCTTCTATTTTTTCTTTGCTTCCTGTATAAATTTCTTATGCCTTCTGCATCAGTTTCCTAGGGCTACTATAACAAAGTACAACAAACTGGGTGGCTTGAAACAAAACTTGAGTACAACTGCAGAGACCATAATTGCAAATAAGGTCACATTCTCAAGTACTGGGAGTTAGGTCTTAAACATATCTTGGAGCACACAATTCAACCCATTAAACTTCTTCCTATCCCAAATGTAGCTATTTTAAGACACAGATTATCTTTACTACCCTACTTCCTTATAGTTTGTTACCTCATCTAAATAGTTGAACACTGGATCTCTATCATTCACTGTTAACTCTCAAATGTCAGTTTCAGATTCATGCAAATTATTTAATAACAATTTTCCTATTTAACCACGTCAGTTCCACTTTAGTAAGGGAGGGCCTACTAGGCATTCTTCTTCTTCTTTTTTTTTTTTTTTAATACATTTCAGAGATGAAGGGAATAGGGAGAGAGATATAGAAACATCAATGATGAGAGAGTATCATTGATCAACTGCCTCCTGCACACCCCCTACTAGGGATTGAGCCCACAACTTAGGCGTGTGCCCTTGCCTGGAATCAAACCCGGGATCCTTCAGTCCACAGGCCAATGCTCTATCCACTGAGCCAAACCAGCTAGGGCTAGGCATTATTCTTTAAAAAATAAAAGTGTAAACATGACCCCCAACCACTGAGTCATACCAGTCAGACTAGTGTTTATTTTTTATGTTATAGTTAGCCTTCTTTCTTTTTAATACATTGTTTGCGGGTAGTTTTTATCGAGCGCTAACAGGTGGCGCGTGGCGCGGGCCATTTTTGCTAATTTTTTTGCACAAATGGCAACATTCAGTAAAATTGCGATAACTTTAGTTTACGTATTTATACGTTACCCGCATTCTACCGCTAGTCTATAAAAAAACATATTAATACGTGTCCCGCGCTCTACTTACTACCAGTCAACGTAAAATGTATAAATACGTTTCCCGCATACAATGTGTTAATATCAGACTTTGAAATGCCACAAACATCACTGTGATCTGATTTGCAGTAGCTTTAAATAATCTTTTGACTTTTTTTTTTTTTTCACTTTTTAAATTGTGGAAAAATATAACAAAATTTACCACCTTAACCATTTTAAGTGTACACTTCAGTAGTGTTCAGTACATTCACATTGTACAACTAAACTCTAGAACTTTTATTTTGCTGTTATAAGAGTTAGTTACTTATTCCTTAACTTTATGCTATATATGACAATTCTCAATAATTGTATTGCTCCAGAATCTACACAGAATTCATGAGCACACTCTTAAAATAAGTAAGAGGAATTTGGTCTATCATAATTTTCCCATTCTTGCCTGTGTATGTGAGTGTGTGGGCTCCTTGGCATTGTCTTTGTGTTAATGAATGTCTTTCATGGACACTGATGCAGCACTGAACTGATTCAATTAATATGATGCCCTGAAATCCTCTATAATAATAAAAGCATAATATGCTAGTTAGACCAGACGTCCTTCTGGACGAAGCTGGAGATGCGAGGGAAGCCTGGGTCCCGGGTGCCTGCCGGTGGCCTGAGGGAATCCTGGGTCCCGGGTGCCAGAGGGAAGCAGATGCCGGCATCCAGGGGAAGGAAGGCCTACTCTTGCACGAATTTCATGCATGGGGCCTCTAGTGTATAATTAAAGGCTAATATGCAAATCGACTGAACAGCGGAACAACTGGTCGTTATGACGCGCACTGACCACCAGGGGGCAGACACTCAATGCAAGAGCTACCCCCTGGTGGTCAGTGCGCTCCCACAGGGGGAGCACCGCTCAGCCAGAAGCTGGGCTCCCAGCTGGCAAGCGCAGTGGGGGGAGCCCCTCCTGCCTCCATGGCAACACTAAGGATGTCTGCTGTGAGCAGGCCTAAGCTGTCAGTCAGACATCCCCTGAGGGCTCCCAGACTGTGAGAGGGTGCAGGCTGGGCTGAAGGCTCCTCCTCCCCGGAGTTCACGATTTTTGTGCACCAGGCCTCTAGAGAGGTGGTCTATACTTTCAGTGTGGCCCATTATGCACCAAGGACAGTCTCAGATTATGGAGGGAACAGTTTGTCTTTCCATACTCCTGGTTTTGCTGTGCTGGTCTAATTGTGTTTATCTGCTGTGGCTGAATCTGTTGCTCTGTGTCTTCTGCTCTGCATCTTGTTTCTCTTCTTTTCCTTTCTTTTTTCTTTTTCCTCTCCCATATTAACCTTGTTGATCTGCCCAGGTTTCATAAAGGTTGGCTTGGTTAGCCATTGCCTGCGAGTTAGAGCATTGCCTATTTTTGGCTCTTTGAGGTTTTCAGTATTCTCCTGGTTTGTATATATTTCACTTGAGAGTGTAAGATTTCTCAATACATAAGGGCGCTATAGCTGAGCTTGAATTTAGTAGTAAATAACTACGTTGAGTGATATTTGCTGATTAACATATTTAAGAGATTTTGTTTCATTGTGACTGAAAATTAGGGGTACATTTTTGCATGAAAGTATTCCTGTTGAAGTCACAATTTCTTATATAGCTAAATCCAGTGTATATTTTTTGGCTTGTATTATTGAGAATCTCTGACTATTTGATTATGTCCTGTCTTTCCTGATATTTTTTTTCCTCTCCTTTTTAATTTGTTTATTTTTGGTTTTGCTTTGTAATACTATGCTTTCATGGTTTTCCTGCCTCTTAAGTCATTTGTTCTGTCTCATTTTTCTGGATTTTTTTCTGACCACCTCTTGAATGTTCCATTCTTTCATACTTGATCTTCTTACTCTTTGTCCTCTATTTATTTGTTTATTTTTAAAATAGATTTGTATTGATTTCAGAGAGGAGGGAGAGAGAGATAGAAACATCGATGATGAGAAAGAATCATTGATCAGCTGCCTCCTGCACACCCCACACTGGGGAGCAAACCCACAAGCCGGGGGACCAGGAATCAAACCGTGACCTCCTGGTTCATAGATCTACATTCAATCACTGAGCCATGCTGGCCGGGCTTTGTCCTCTTTTTAAATGATCTCATTCATTGTCATTTTTAAAAACTACCATTTCTGGGCTGATGATTCCCAAATCTACTTCTCCAGCCCAGATCTTTACACAAATGGATTTATATCATCTCAGTGTTTCATAGACATGTCTAACTCTTTTTTCATAATGTCCCCTTTTTTTTTGGTGGCACCATTATCTACTGACTCAGCAAGTCAGAATTTTCCCCACATCTCACTGTTCACCAAATCTTGTAACTTTGATCTCTTAAATTATTCCTGCCTTCATTTTCCACTGTTCTGTCCCTGTTCAGACCTTCATCTGCTGTCTGGCTAATTTCCACTCTTCCTTCAGGTCTCAACTATTCCTCAGGAATACCTTTGACTCCCCAGTATAAATCAGTTGTTATATTTGTACCTCAGACTATTTAACCCACTTGTCATTATGTATTTAGTATTTCCTTAGTGTACTTGTTTCCTCTCTGAGAATAAGTTCCATAAAGGCAGACTGTTTTGGTCAGTGTTGTATCTCTAATGCTAGTGCAGTGCTTGATACATTATAGGAACAAATTAAATACTTGTTGAATGACTTAGTAACATACTTAGAAGAACCTTCAGCTAGTTTGCCTGCCTCCAAGGAGGCTTGCTGCCTCAGGTCTGTCTTTCACACTGCTGTCAGAGCAATTTTTCTAAAATGTGCATCAGACAGTTTTGCCTTTGGAGAAAGAAGTTCAAGTTTTTCAAAATGACACACAAGCCCTCTTCCTGATATAAAAAGGGTTATCTTATGTTCACTTCAGCAGCACCTACACTAAAAATTGGAATGATACAGAAAAGATTAGCATGACCCTTGCACAAGGATGATACAAATTCCTGAATTTTTGTGACTGTGGGGGGAAGGGTGGTGGGTGGAGGTGGAAGAGGATATGTGGGAGATAAATAGTGGTGGAAAATAATAAAACAAAGGGAAGAATTAAAAACAAACCACAAGATACTACTTAAAAAAGGCTTATCTCTTACCTTATCTACTGTTCACTGTTTGCTCTAGCAAAACCAAACTACTGGTTTCACCCAGCCATTGTAGCTCTGGTTGAGCGTTGACCCATGAACCAAGAGGTCACCAGTTCCATTCCCAGTCAGGGCACATGCCTGGGTTTCGGGCTCCATCCCCAGTTGGGGGCGTGCAGGAGGCAGCCGATCTTTGATGTTGCTCTCTCATCAATGTTTCTATCTCTCTATTCTTCTCCCTTCCTTTCTCTCTAAAGTAAATCAATAAAAACATTTTTAAAAAGATCTGCTAGTTTCTAGTATACATAAATCTTGTGTTTACTTACATGCCTATGCATATGCTGTTCACCTTGCCTCAAATCAACACCTACTAATCCTTCAGAACACAGGCCAGGTTTTACTTACCCTGCAAAGCTTTTTCTCTTATTGCCACTTCCCCTTCCTCAACAAGTAATGCTTTCCTCTTCCATACTCTTTCCGTACATCATAAGTATTTGTTTTACATTTCATTTGGTATTGTATATCTCTTATTTTTTGAAAGAGAGATCAGAGTATAAGTGAAATGGAATAAAATATACCATTTAGGTTTTTTCCTATTTTGAAATAATAACCTTAAGTGACCTTAAAAACATATGTTGATACAAATGTAGATTCTAGAAGACCACAAATATCAATGTGAATTATTGGTGAAAGTTAGGTAAATGTTATAATTAATTATATGATTATATATGCCTTGCATTTCAGATTTTGTCAGTGGAGCACTAAATAAACTTAAATATAACAGAACACCCTCTGTTACACCTCAACAAGAAAGAATCAGTAAGTGATATGTATTTAATGAAAATTTCTGAGTTATTTTGGTTTAATCAAATCCAATATTTTCAGTGGAGATACTGTACTATAATACTATGCTGTGACTTGCTAATTACATTGGATATAATAAACCCAAAATTATAGAGAAGAATTTCTTTTAGTCTTTTATCTTTAATCTTCTAAATCATGCTTTTCTGTTTCTTATAAGTTAGATGTTATTGAACATGTAAGAATAACTCAATTTTATTTTTGCTTTAGAACCAGAAGTTTATGAGTATATGTGACCCTCTCCCCCCCCTTTTTTTTAATCTTGGTTTGCTTGTGGTTGAAATTATTTAGCCCAGTAACAGACAATTATAATTTTCTTCCCTATGTTAATATTCTTTAATGTGAATTATATGCATCTTTTAGTATATTTTGCTCAAGTTACTACAGCTTGCCTATTTTTATTTTACAGAGTTAATGATATCAATTTAGTTTTATAGCATGTATTTGATAATGTGAACATATATCGCTCCATTCTTTGTTTAGTCCTAAGTAATAGTTTTATAAGAATAAATTTATAAAGCTTTTTTATTTTATCAACATTGTGGGAGAAACAATAAATTGTGGGGGTTTTTCAGCCCAGCTGTCTGAATCTCCAGTGATTCTTACACCAAATGCTAAGCGCAAACTGCCAGTAGATTCTTCTCATGGTTGCTCAAGTAAGAAAAGGAAGTCCATCAAGCACAATTTTAATTTTGAGTTGTTGCCAAGTAATCTCTTCAGTACCAGTTCTACACCAGTATCAGGTAACAAATGTGATTTACATAATTGGGTTGTAAACATTAACATAGTGCCTGTTCTGGGTAAAGTGCTATTTCATGTTAATACTGCCCTTGAGGAGCCAGAGCTTTATTTTTTATTAAACCTGAATTTTTATAAAGTCCCCTAAATTTTAAAATAGACTGATCCGTATAATTGACATGTATGTGGTTTATGGCCATGCCCATTGAAAGTTATGAGAAATAACTGGGAGGGAGAGTCTGGCTTCTGTGGATAGCATCAATGCTCAGATTTTATGTGATTGGACATACTGAATTCTACTTCTGGATCTGTAGCTATAGCTGTATTGCTGTCTTCTGTTGAGTTGAGGTTGTCCAAAGTTTGATCATCTCTGAATCCACAGTGGGGTAACTATCATGAGTTGCATGTGGATGGGGGGGGGTGGTGGTGGTGGAATGTAATATTTTTAATGTTTTATGCTCTAAAAGCTTTAAAAAGTTTTTATATACTGTTTCTTGTAGCATGGCTTCCAGATCCCTTACCATCCCAGCCATTTTCTTCCAAATGAACTATAAGTTCCTAATATGGCCAACCAGAGCCTCCAGGGAATAATATAATTCAATCATGCCCATTTGAGTGCCAGACTTTTGTTAGTGTGGTCTTAGGTTGGGTTGGCTTCTTTAGCATGTGCAACAATACAGTTGGCTCAAAATAACCTATAGTCAACCCAAATGAAATGAAACCATAACTAAGTCTGAGGTCTTCCATCTCATATTTAGTCAAAATGTGAGTAATCTCTACCTCTTTTAGATTTTTATTGGTTGGTTTCTGACAATGTTAAGAGTTCCATTTTGAATTCATTAGCTGGGTTAATAGATCTTCTCAAAGGCCTCTCTTGTTTATTTAAAAAGTTTATATTTTCTTTGTTTGTTTTATTAAAAATTGAAAACAATAGCAATTTGTTCTCTATGGTCCTTAACAGGTTCTCTTGGTTCATTAATGTGTAATAATAAGAATTTTGAGGCTATGTCTGTAGCTTTTTCAGTATTCAGAAGTTGAAGACTTCAATTTATTTCAAAGTAACTTTGGGTTTCGTTTTTTGAAATTTAAAGGCTTTTCCATTTTGGAGGACTTTTTCCAAATGGCACATGTGAAGTGTGGTTCTACCTGCCTTTGCTTATTCGCATTACATTGTCCCCAAGGATGATCTGCTGACTCCTTTTCTCTAAACTTCCCCCAAATAAGGTTAAACATTCTTGTGTTATTGTAACATTACTATGAACCTGCTTAATCAGTGAATTTTTTAAATAAAACATTAAACAACAGTAATCCTATTATTTTAACTCACCTCTTTGTTGTTGTTAGTCCTCACCTGAAGATATTTTTCCATTGATTTTTAGATAGTGGAAGGGAAGGGGAGAGACAGAAAGAGAAACATCAATGTGAGAGACACATTGATTGGTTGCCTCCTGCACACACCCCAACCAGGGCTAGGGATAGAGCCTGCAACTGAGGTATGTGCCTTTGACCAGAATCAAACCCAGGATCCTTCAGTTCGTGAGCAAACACTTCAACCACTGACCCAAACTGGCTAGGGCTCACTTTTTTTTTTTCTCCTATCCTACTTTCTCAGGCACAATTCAATAAATTAAATTTTCAAAATGTTTTTTTTAAATGTTATAAAGGCAATATTATCTAAAGTCCATGAGTACCTATATACAATTTCTTTCTTACATATGTGATAACTTTGCATTATGCCATGTATTCTGGTTGTGCCTTCCTATGATCACTGCAGCCCTAGGATAAAGCTACCTGTGTCATATTGGATACATTATACTGTCCTCCAAAATTTTATTTAGCCAAGTGCACACACCCCAAGGTCACTGTAATGGTTGTAGTATTAACTATTTTTATAACTGAAAAACACTTGGATGTCTCTGGCGACCCATGTGAATTTATCAAAACAAATGACAAGAGGGTTCACGCTTGTGGAGTGTGTCTTAGGCATAATTCAAATGTAAGTCAAATGTATATGGAGCTTTATTTTATAATTATTTTACTTTTTTCCTCATTTCTTTTATAGTCAATTATAGTGTTAAAATAACTTGATCAAAATGAGCTGTTGTAACCACCAGTTTTTAGCATGGAACATGACAGTAGACAAGTGGTTAGGCATGTGTTATAGATTATTTTCTTGCTAAAAATATTAGACAAGTTATATTCAAGTCATACAGCAGTTGGCTAGCAGGTGCATACTGGATACTCAGACTCTAAATTGCTTTTCAATAGTTTATTTTTAGTAATATTTAATATTACGTATCAGATACTTTGCTGGGCATTTTATATATATTACAATAATACTTATATTTGCTATAGAAATCCATTTTCAAAGCCTCAAGTCATTAGTAAATGGTGAGACAGACTGTCTCGTAAGCTTGTCTTTCTCCAATCCGCAACAGTGCCACTCCTTTGTATTCTTAGACAAGTTTAAAACTCCAATGTGCAAGCAATGGTTAATCTGACCTTTCATTTCTACTAAAAAGAAGAAAATTGATTCTTTTTTAGTTGAGTTGGGTTATTTGGCCCCTAAAATTTTTAAGCAGAAGTGATATGATTTTTCTTGTGGCTTTAAGTCTAATCACTATTAATAATTTATATTTTGAAAAAGAAAATAAGTGTGTGTGGTATATTACATGTGATTGTTTTTATAGTTCACTTTGATACAAGCCCAGAGGTGTCATCTCAGAGTTCACTCTCTCCTGTAGCCATCAGTGGAAATCATTTGATCAGTACAGATGTACCACGGCGAAGTAAAAGGATTGCAAGCAAAAAAGTTTGCAGGTAATTTATCTAGGGTATTTTCATTGGATAAATATTTGATGTATATAGCTAATAAAATATTTTGTCTTTATACCAAGAATCATAATTTAAAAAAATGTTTTCTGCGTTATTAACCAGGTGCCCTTTATATATTCTCCAGAGAAAGATTCCTAATTTGAATCATTTACTTGCTTGAAATCCTACTTCAAGTTGATATGTGTAATTTTTAAATTTCTGGTTAATTTAAAAAGCTAGTTTATTCTGATGATTCTGGTATATAAGTGACTAAATAACTCTTGTGATAGATGGAAAAATCATTTTTGCGTGCAAATACAATGTGTTCACATATGGTATCTTAAAACTGAACTGATTTTAGAAATATTATTTGCTCTGGACATTCTCAAATTTCATTTTGCAAAAGTTTCTCCAATTTTTTTTGCTATAAACTAATATTTTAAATTCCATTTTTTTAAGGGTGGAATCAGGAAAAGCAGGCTGCTTCTCTCCTAAAATCAGTCGTAAAGAAAAAGTTCGAAGATCTCTTCGTTTGAAATTTAGTCTGGGAAAAAGTAGCAAAGATGCAGTAAGTGTCTATCACCATTTCACTGATGTTTATCATAGCATAATGCTGTAGATTTGATGCTGAAAGACCCTCTCAACCCTGCCTCTCCTCTAGCTACTTTCCCATTCTCTACTCCTCTTTATACCAAACTCTTAAACTTGCCTATCTCTAGTCCCTCCTTTTCCGATTCCATTGAGGCTTTCATCCTCAACACTCACAGAAAATATCCTCATGGTCACCCATGAATTCATCCTCACTCAAGCCACTAGACAAAGATCAGTCCTTGTTTGACTTGACCCACCGGCAACATTTGACCTGGCTGATCACTTGCTCCTCTTCAAGGTACTTTCTTTTCTTGCTTCAAGGACACTGTTCTCATGAGTTTCTTCCTTCTTTGCTGGTTACTCTTCTAATTCCTTTGCATTGGAGTTCCCAAAGCTTCATCTTTGGACCTCTCTTTTCTTTCTCCACTCACTCAAAGGTGATCATCAATTTTAAACATCATATATTTACTTGAGACTTTCAAGTTTATATCTCCAGCCCAGAATGCTCTCCTGAACACCTTGTCTGTTTCTTAACATCTGCCTACTTGACCTCCATAGTTGGATGTCTATCCAGTAGACATCTCAAGTGTAACCTTTCCCAAATAGAAGTCTGAGATGCATTTCTTCACTGCCTCTATTTTTCCAATCCTACCCTTTCCCCAATCACACTCCTACCTGTAGTCTTCACCATCCAGTTATGGCAACTCAGTCACTTAGGCCAAACCATGCAGGCATTCTTGACTCCTCACTTTCTCTCACACACCCTGCCTACACCATTACGAATCCTGTCTTAACTATTGCATTCCGAGTATATTGAGATCAGTTTCATCAGTACTATATTGTTAACTTTAAGTCCTGTCATCTTGAACTTGTATTACTGCAATAAGTCTCTATTAGTAGCTCAACCTGCTTCTACCTTGCTGCTGTACTCTAGCCAAAATTATCCTTTTAAAACCCAAGTTAAATCATGTCATTTCTTGGCTCAGAACCCTCCAGTAACTCCTCATTTCACTCTGAAAAAAAAAAAAAAAAAAAGCTAAGTTCTTCCATCAACAGCAACCCTGCACACGACCTGCTCCCAGCCTCCTCTGAGCCCTCTTCCTGCGTACTCAGCTTCATCCACTCTTGCCTCCTTGCTGTAGGCCAAATATTCCAGACCTGGCTTCAGCCTTAGAGACTGCACTGGCATTTTCCTCTCCCTGGAATGTTTTGTTCATGACTCTCACCCTCATTTTTTTTACTCACAGATCATCATCTTATGATCACTCTGTTGGAAATTATACCCCCATCTTTTACCATTTCATATCCTTCTTACCCTACTTTACTTTTCTCCATAACACTTTTCATCTTTTGTATTATATATTATACAATATAATTGACTGATTATTATTTTCTAGTCTAAATCTCTCCACCTAAAATAAAAATTCCATGAAGGTAAGATTTTGGCCTTAGATTTTTTTGTTTTTCTTTTTAATTTCACTTTTGTGAATAGGCCCTGGCAAAGACTCATAATTTTTTTTTTAAGTTAATGAAGATGTGAGGCAGTTTTTTATTTTGCATTATAAAATATCAACTAAGAGCTGAGTCAAATGCTTACAGTTTTTATCATACATGCAAATGTATTTGGTACAAAATTGGTACAATTTGGTACAATTTCTCAATTATATTATTTTTAATTAACTATAGAATTTTGATAATAAAAATTTATTTTGTTTTAATATTTTGAAAATTAACTGGTTTACTTTTTAACGAAAATGTTCCAATTTTTCTTTTCTGTACAGAATGGGTGTTCTGGTGTCAATAGACATGAAAATGTTGGTCGACGACTTGCAAATCAACAAAATTTAAAAAGTAGTATTGAATCTGTAAAAACAGGCCTGTTTTTTAGCCCAGATAATGACGAAAGATTAACCAAGAAAGGTAATGGTACATTTACATGATACTATTAGAGTTTTACTCAGAAAACCTACTTTAGTAGTTGTTGTTTTTTTAATATATTTTTATTGATTTCAGAGAGGAAGGTAGAGAGAGAGAGAGAAAGAGAGAAACATCAATGATGAGAGAGAATTATTGATTGGCTGCCTCCTGCATGCCTCCTACTGGGGATTGAGCCCACAACATGGGCATATGACCTCACCAGGAATCGAACCATAACCTCCTGGTTCATAGGTCAATGCTCAACCACTGAGCCACGCCGGCTGGACTAATTTAGTTGTTTTTAAAATAAAAGTTTTCCAACTTAATTGAGATATAATTTACACATGTCCTTTCATTACTTTTTTAATGATAAAATATATTAAGTAACTGTTCTGAAAATTTAAAATTCATGTTTAAATAAAAAATTTGAATTGGCATTGTATTTTTCTGTGAATAATTGGAGGATGCTTATAAATATGAAAGTTTGACATTTAAAAATTCTTTTCAACAAATCTAATTTATTAGAATTAAATGCTTAGTACCTTTATTCACCATGTATTTGGATAATAATGTAAAAACTAGGTCAAATATAAATGATTAAAAACCCTGAACTGTTTTATTTTAGGTTCAAAAAAGATCAGTAAGTCTGAGGAACATTTATTGACTCCAGAGCAACTGGATGGAACAAGTTACCGAATGTCTTGGACTGGGCCTAGTAATTCAAGTTTTCGAGAAATAGAAGCAAAAGAAGCTTCTCCAATAGAGGGAAATCTTGAGGTGGAAAACTCTTGTTTGGAGCCTGATATGGTAGAAAAGTCATCTATTAATTCATATGAACTCACCCCTTCTAATGTACACAATAAGCATAATGACAACCTAACCGGAAGCTCTCTTAGTGGGGATGAAAATAACTTGAGTACAGAGACTTTGGTGAAAATTCAGAAAGCATTTTCTGAATCTGGAAGTAAGCTTCATGCATTGATAAATCACAAGCAGTCATCAATTACTAATGTTGGGAAAGTAAAAGTAAATGAAACATCTTCTATAGCATATAGCTCAGGGGAAAATCTATTTGAAAATAATGATTTGACTGTGATAGAATCAAATGAACACCACACTGGTAAAAGTGAAAATAGTTTTTCAGAAAGAGACTTCTCACGACATCAAACTCAAAAATTAGATAGAAAAGCAACTATAAAATGTTATTCAACTAATATGAAGATGGAACATGATGATATCATTCATTCAGATATGCCAAATGATGACTTAAACAAGCAAGAATTGCCCAGTGATGAACAGATAAAAACACAACAGTCCCCAAGGGATAAACTAAATACTAAATTAAAGGAGGAGAATATGATTGAAGAGAACTTGTTGAAATGCCCAGCTCCTAGGGAGGATGCAGCTAACACCTCTTCCTCAGAGCAGATTACATGTGATACAACCAGCTTATCAAAACCTAGGCGTGTGACAATGGTTACACAACAGTCACTGGTGGAAAAGTGTGATACAAGGCTATCTGAACATTTACAAGTAACAGAACATGGAAAGGTTTCAGACCACATACAATGGTTTAATAAGCTTTCTTTAAATGAATCAAATAGGACAAAAGTTAAATCACCTCTTAAGTTTCAGCGCACACCTGTCCGTCAGTCTGTCCGAAGAATTAATTCTTTGTTGGAGTATGACAGACAACCTGTAAGGCACAAATTGGCACATCTTGGTGATACTGCTTCTCCTCTGGTTAAATCAGTGAGTTGTGACAGTGCTCTTCCCTCTTGTATAGAAAGTACGTCAAATGATTCCTCAATTTCACATACCCAATCAGGTTCTAAGGAACGGAAGTCTGTTTCATGCAAACAGTCAAATGTTGATGCAGTTACAAGATCAAGCATGGAATTAACTTCTAAATCTTTCTCACAGATGAAGAGGCACCCAGACTCTATGAATGCTTCGGTTGGGTCAACCAGAGTTTATAAACAAAAAGTGATATCTGATGGCCAAATTACTAGTAAGGGTCCTTTGGAGGATCTGACAAATCATGATATGTTAAGATCTGTTGTAAATAATAATACAGGCTTATCTGGGATAAATAGCAGGATCCTTAGGAAGCCGTCAGAAAGAGAAAGGGTCTGGTATAAAGGTTCTCCCAAAAATCCTATTGGAAAAGCTCAGCTACTACCAACAAGTAAACCTGTAGACTTGTAATTGGTAAATGTTATACTTGTCATTAATGTAAATAAAATCACTTGGTGATGTGCTTGTTAATTTGTAGCTCAAGCAACTTGGATTCTTGTGCTTGTATAAATGACTACTTTGTTTTCCTTAATTATGGCAATATTTAAGACTTTAATTTGTTTTCCTTAAATATGGCAATATTTAAGACTTTAATTTTATTGTGATGTTTTAAAACAGGTTACACTTTACTTTTTAAAATTGCATGAATTTTATGTCTTAAGTGTGATGGGAAGAGTAGAATAAGTTGTGTCTATTTCCTGTTATTCCTCCTAAGTCTGATAAGGTTTCTACAAGAAATGTTTAGGATATAAAGGGAATAGATAAGACTTGCAAGTCTTATTTCTTGAATTACATTAATTTTTATTGTCTTTACCCAAATCCCTAGAAATTAACTTGTTTCAATAGCATCTTAATTCTTTATTCCTATTCAGGGCAAAATAATGAGGTTTCTATTGCCTGTAGATGTATACAGGGTGTTCACTTAAGAATGATGGCTAAAGTAGAGCAATGCTAAAGTGTGCTTATATAGTGTGTTGCTACAGGAATAATTGACTTTTAAGCCATACTATATTTTTAAAAGTAACTTGCACAAATACATTTATATCTGTTTTGTCCAATGCAGAATTTAAAATTGAGGAATAAATAAGCTTGAAAATTTTAATCAAGGTGATTTCTTATATGCAGATGATTGATTCTAGACTTTGAAATACTTGATGCACCTCCATATTTACCTTGGATTCTTTTGTATGTTTTTTTAATTTATTGAGGTGACATTGGTCAACATGAACATATAAGTTTCAGGTGTGGATTTCCATGTTACAAAACCTGTATATTGCACTGTGTGCCCACTATCTTGGAGTCTTATAGTTTGGATTCATACAAAAGCCCATGATAGCTTGTCTTGTGTGTAAATGTTATTTATTTAGCATAGATATTAAAGATAACTTCCTGAAAAATAACTTGCCTGAGATTCTAATGAAATTCAACCCAAATTGTCAAGCAAATCTATATTTATATTTTAAATTATTAGAAGTTACAAATATTTAAGGAAGGAATGTTATTATCAATAGAGGATAGTCTGTGAGTTTTAGAGGAAGGAATATGCAGACAGAATCTACCACTAGAGATAGTTTTGTAAGTCGATTGTTAGAATGCCATATTCAGATGTTGAGGCAGAATAGGACAGCATTGCACACCTACTCAGCAACCAGATTCACAGTGTGTGTATGTATGAGGCCTTTAACCCTTTGCGGTCCAGTGTTATTTTTGGAATTCAAACAGTCTGGTCCAAATTAATTGACGGGATTGAATGTTGAACTTTTTAATGTTCTTATTGCTCGACATTGGACCTGCTCCTAGCGCTTGGTCTGTCGAGTCAGCCTCGAGGTTGGACCGAAAAGAGTTAAAGTCATCAGATGTTCGCTTCACCGAGTTCTACTTGATAGCAGTACATCTCTTTTCTTTCAAAGCTATTTCCTGTCCGTATTCATTACCTAGGAATCAACCCTTTCTCAGAACTAGTAAGTATTTGACTTATTTGAAGACTAAAAGTCTGTACATATAAACATCATGTTTATCTGACATCAAAACAGGTTTCTAGTGTTTATTGGCTGTGCATTTCAGTGTTTATGGTATTTACCTAGTAGTAGAGATAGAAAGTATTCATAAACCCTGAGATATATGTTGTCTGGTTCAAAGAAATTTTTAAACTTAAAAATGCGTTAATGTCCTTTTACTAGTATATTCATGGGGATGAAATTGTTGCACTGGATGACTAGTAAAAAGGCATAGGAAATTAACTGTAGAAATCATCTGAATTAGTGGTTTTTCTTATAAGTACCGCGCGCTAACCGATTGTGCCACTGGAGCTCCTGAATTAGTGGTTTTTCTGAGAGAGGAATCAATAATGAGAGGTTTTAAAAACAATAAAAAAAACCTACCCACATGTCACGCCCATGTTAGCTGAAAGTGAATTGCTTGGAGGTATGGTAATTAGAGAAAAGGTCAGGAAATTTGAGTTTTAGACTTGATTTAATCTTTTTTTTTTATCCTTTCTGCCCCCCCCCCCCCCCCCCCCCACACACACACACACAAAATAATGTTCCTGGTGTCATGGAATATTTGATCAAGTGATAAAGTTAAAAGTCAAATACTAGTTCTGAGAATCAATGTGCATTAACTTCAAAGATTATTTTAATTGTTCTTACAAGTAAAGATCTAATATTAATTTGATTATTATGAGCAGCAAACTACAGTTACATAGAACTAAATTAGGTTGCTTGGCAACATCCTATAATCACTAAGAATTTAATATAAGATTTTTTTTTTTAGTTTATCCTCACCCAAGGATATTTTTTCCATTGATTTTTAGAGAGCGATAGAGAGGGAAAGAGGGTGAGAGAGAAACATCAATGTAAGAGACACATCAATTGGTTGCCTCTTGCATACACCCCAACTGATGCTCTAACCACGTAGCAACACCAGCCAGAGCTTAATATAGGAGTTTGATAATCGTCAGGCCCAGGATATAGATGGTAGATGTTTTGTTTTTAAAATTTCAGATTTTATGCAATATACACATTTTGGTGTATTTCAGTCAAATTTCCATTCATCACAAAAGCAGTAAATTGTAATAACTTCTCTATTTTTCCAAGCACAAAATGAAGATAACAATGTCAAAGTAAAATTCAGAGTTGAAAGAAAAAACCTCAATATGGGTGAATAATAAATAATAAACTCCCAGCTTGGCCTTTGAACCTAGAACTAATAAACTATATTTGTACTATTGATTGAGTATATCCTGAAACAAAAAGCTGGAAATGAGCATCCACGGAAGAAAAGCCTAGGAAGGAGGCTTGGCTTCAAACCAAAAGGCCATGTGTCTCAGGAATGATTTTCCTGTCCCCCTCAGCATTGCATGAAATTGCTGTAGGTGATCATGGATTTGAGCTAGGGGTAAAGAGATCTGGAAGTTCCTCAGTTATTCTCAGAACCCAGGTACTTTAGTCATCCCCAGTCTTGAAAAAAAATTGCAATATTTATTGTGTAGTTTTACATTTCAATTTAACAGAAGTTGCTAGCATTTTCTATTTAAGAGCCTGTTTCCCAATGAAAGGGCTCCTGAAAGCACTCTGAAGATATACCCTCCAGTGGTCTGCAAACTCATTCGTCAACAGAGCCAAATATCAACAGTACAACCATTGAAATTTCTTTTGAGAGCCAAATTTTTTGAACTTAAACTATATAGGTGGGTACATTGTTATTAACTTAATTAGGGTACTCCTAAAGCTTAGGAAGAGCCACACTCAAGGGGCCAAAGAGCCGTGTGTGGCTTGGGAGCCGCCATTTGCCGGCTACTGCCTACCCTATCATTGCAATCATTAAAAGTTCTTAGGACTCTTCACATTTGTTTCTCCTACCATTGTCCCCTTCCCTCTTACAGCTGAAAGGCTTAAAAACACAAAATGCCAGAGGTGGCAGAATTAAAGATGTGCTATTAGGGCAAAGTACACAGTGGCGACCTGTCACATTGTTGAGATAAGTGCGTGAGAAAAGGTGGGTTACTTCCATAAGGGTCTATGGAGAGAGATTCTAGGAGATGGGCTTGTGGAATGCGCGGGTTGAACGCTGTGTGGCTCCAGGTGGGAGGTGCCAGCATCTGGCTGCATTCAGGGGAGGCCTTGCTGGGCGGCCTCCACCTGCTGCGGGCGGGGCCAGGGCGGAGCCAAGATGCGGAGGGAGGTGTGACGCACCAGAGACTCCGACCGCCGCTCGCTGCCCGACCCCCAGCGAGGCCCAGACCCGCGGCAGGCTCCTCTGGCCCCTGGGTGAGTCCTGCGCTGATGCTGGACCGCCTGAGGCCCCGCACAGACCCGAGGGTTCTTCGGGATGGGGAGTCGGGAAGGGGGACCCGAAATCTTTGAGCTGGAGGGTGGGGGCAGACAAAGGATGGGTGCGGGGTTAGGAGGTTCGGCTACAAATACTACGAGGGAAAGTACCAAAGGAGGGGACTGTGTAGTTGTCAAATCAGAACTGTGTTGGCGGCGTGTACATGAAACAAAGCATCCTGCATTCGGTGCAGAGGGGGGAAGATGGAGATGGCTGGCGGCTGGCATCTGCCTCTGGCCTTTCTGTCAGAATGGCAGGTTTTGCTCGTTGGGGAACAGGTTTTGTATCCAGGGGTGGCTAGAAAAGGCCTTTTTCTATACAGAAAAAGATAGGGGTTGTGAATGTTTCCGTTTCAGGGGGGAAATGCATAGAGAACGTAAAAAGAAAGGGGTTGCATGGCCCCTGCGGGAGCGTAGGTCAGCAGCTGCAGAGGGAAGCTGCGTGAATGTTTGTCCCCTGTTCTGCAGGCCTCAGGCTCTACTGACGCCAGCATTTAGGACAGCGACTCCCCAGATTAGTTTTCTCCCTCTCGCCTGTCTGTCTTGCCTCTCATCACTCACTTGCCTAGATTCTAAGCCCAGAACCGTGAGGTAATATTGCCAACATAATAAAACAATGTAGGGGTTCTGTGCTGGCATGGCTCCAGTCCTCCTTACAGGTGTTCCCACACTTCTGCTCACAACAATCCTACAAGCCAGATGCTTTTCTCATCCCCTTTTTTGCAGAGAAGAAAACTGAGGATTTTGCCCCAAATCACCCGATTTTGCATGTGACAGAGCAAGCTTGCCTCATCTCCCCTTCCAGGTTGCAGGGCAGACCTGAGTGGTGTGTGTGTTTCATTCCCTCTCAGGATCTCAAATGTATCAGATATTTGCTAAGCTAAAGTGCTCCTTCCACCACTCTGGCCTTCCTGGGATTCTTTGCCATCCGTGTCTTCCTAACTCCTTTCTGAGACTCCCTCCCATCCCCCCAGACTCAAGATGTCCCTCTCCCTTTCTCAAAATGGAAACAAGTTAATTTTTGTTGTTTGTTTTAGTAAGAGGAAGAGGGTGGTAGGGTTAAGGGTGCTGCACAGCTTGCAGGGAGCTGAAAGGAGGAGAAAAGATGACTGAGAACCGCCGTTCCTGGCTGACCTTCCCAAGAAGGCTCGTCAGAAGGAACTGGCTCCTCCAGCTGTTTTGTTTGTTTCACACCTTCCCACAGCAGATGTCCCAGCTGGAGTGGACATTTAAGGCAAAAGCAAACTCCTAGAATTTCTCCTCTCTAGGTGGTCCTCAAATTAGTACTTCGCATGGTTGCATCATCACAGTTGCCAACTGGCCGATGGATGCAATTGGATCTGATTTCTGCAGGTTAAAAATGGTCTCCAGGATGGTCTCCACCATGCTATCCGGCCTGATCTTTTGGTTGACATTTGGGTGGACTTCAACATCTGCCTATAGCCCGCGGACCCCCGACCGGGTCTCAGAAACGGACATGCAGAGGCTGCTCCATGGCGTTATGGAGCAGCTGGGCATCGCCAGGCCACGGGTGGAGTATCCAGCTCACCAGGCCATGAATCTTGTGGGCCCACAGAGCATCGAAGGTATGTACTGTGCTCCCCACTTTGAAGTTGCCGTTAGTATATGTGAAGAAACTCTGCTTCCTCTCTCCGTTTTCCCTTTCTTCTTACCCTACACAGCATACACATCCACATGAGAATACAGGCCCTGTGTCAGCTCTACAGAAAGACTGGCACCCAGCCCAGGTCTTCGCCCATACTGATCTCTGGGAAGTTGTGTTCCCAGCTGGCTGCTTATAAAAGACCTTCAAAGTGTAGGACCTGCAGGCTCCGATTTGGTTCTTAGGGATGACGTCATATAAGCCCCAAAGAGCCAAAACAGGCACTGACGTTAAGCGTTGATGGCAGAAACTGTTCAAAAATATTTAAAACTATAACAAAATGTTAATTAACTTGTTTTAATGTGGCAAGACCATTTCTTCCCAGAAATTTTCTGTCTGGCAATGTGGTTGTAATGCTTTTATTAAAAAGCAGCACTTTGTTGTTTAGTGACTTATTTACAGAGAAAATCGGAACCTAGCTCTCAGGAGAGGCCCCTTCTTTCCATGCCTTGCTTTGTGTCCTCCCCGGATCGGAATGATCTCTTTCTCTGCTGAGCTGGAGCCCTAACGCAGTAGCCTGGGTACTGACTGCATTAGGTTAACTGCTGGGAGTGGGTCCTCAGGAAAAATGCAAATTATTTCCCTGAGTTTTCTCAGAACACACACCCAGCAAGTGCTACTCCCTGTGGATTATGATACATAATTTTACCTGAATTTTTAATTTCCTAAAAATGCTTTCTACCATGGGGTCCTGTGAATGCAGTGGATATTGTTGACATACAATTCTCGTTTCTGGCTTGCTACCCATAGTTTGAAGCCATTGAGTAATACTAACTCTGTGGAGTTCTTGTCTATTTAGGCTGACATTTAAACTGTGGAATGGATTGACATGGATGCTGTGAATCAATAAGCATAGCAACCTAGCGAAGGGCTTGAATCATAAAGGGCTTCATGCCATCTGTCGCTTCGAGCACCCCTATCCCTTTCAGACCAGCTCTTTGGAGACAGTAAATATGTGCCCTTTTAGTGCAGTAAGTGCTAGGTTAGTCACCCAGCCGTTGTCATGGAGAAGGCTTTCTGAGTTTCTATTAATACCTGAGGCCTGATCATCGATGTAGAAAAACAGCGGCTCCTTGGCATCAAAAGCCTGTGTGAATCTTGAGCCTCATTTTCTTCCCTAGATAGCCAGCTATTTAGCAGCCAATATATGCCAGGCACTGGGCAGGAGACCGGGGCAGTTCTGCCCTAAAGATTCACTTTTGGGGGCTGGGAGGAGGATAGGTTATCACGATACATCATGGCATGTGTTTTGTAGATGAACAGATAAGCTGCTGCCTTGGAAGCAGAGAATAGTAGTTTATTCTGCTTGGAAGTGGATTGGGTTGTCTGTAAGGAAATGCTTCTTTGAAGAAGCAACATTTGACCTGGGTTTTGAAGTTTGAGTAGGAGTTCATCCAGGAATGGCAAGTGAAAAGACATGGAGATTTGAAAGAACATGGATTAGGACAATTCAAAATTAATCCTTCTGTTTCTATTATTAACCTTGGGGCAATGTGAGGTCATAGCCATGTTAGGTTCCCCCTAACAGCGTCTGTGCAAGGGATGAATATTGGCTGGTGTTTTGGTATTCTATTACTGCTCCAAATTACCACCTAAACACAATAGCCACTTATTATCTTGTGGTTCCCACTGCTCAGGAGTGAGACATGGGTTTGCTGGGCTGCCTCTGTTCAGAGTCCTAGAGGCTGAAGTGAAGGTATTGACCAGAGCTGCAGTCTTGGCTGGAGCTCACGTCCCCTTCCAAGCTCTGTAAGATTGTTGGCAGAATTCAGTTTCCTGCTGTTGTGGGACTGAGGCCCCCTTTTTCTTGCTGACTGTTGGCTGGGGTCCCTATCCGTTCCAAGAGGCGACCCTCAGGTTGTAAGCTGCATGGTGACCCTCTCACAATGTGGCTTACTTCCTCAGAAGGAGACTATGCCTTTAATCTAATTATAACATAATTTAATTATGGGAATGACTACCATCCCCTTTGTCATTTTAAAAAAATCTTTATTGTTGAAACTATTACATATGTCCTCTTTTCCCCCATCATCACCTTTGTCATTTAACTAGGAATCGATATCCCATTTTATTCACAGCCCCCCCCCCCCACACACACCACAATCAAAGGCAGAGGATTCTGCAAGCAGGTACACCAGTGGGTGGGCATCTTGGGAGTCATTTCAGAATTAAAAAGGAAATGAAATAAAAAGGCTGGATGTTTCCCAGCCCTGAGCCTTGCCATTAATTCATTGGGTATCTAATACTTATTCAAATGAGTGTAGTACTGTTTCAACTCTTCTATTTATTTGCCTTGTTTCTGTTCAGACATTCACTCATGCTAATTCCCAGGCTTCTGACAAATACATGGAATATCTTTTATATCCCTTCCAACCTCTATTTTAGGATTTTATTGTGAAGGAGCAAGTTAGAAAAGTATCTTTTTCTAATTTTAATATAACTGTATACATCAGTGATGGCGAACCTATGATATGCGTGTCAGAGGTGACACGCGAACTCATTTTTTTGGTTGATTTTTCTTTGTTAAATGGCATTTAAATATATAAAATAAATATCAAAAATATAAGTCTTTGTTTTACTATGGTTGCAAATATAAAAAAATTTCTATATGTGACACGGCACCAGAGTTAAGTTAGGGTTTTTCAAAATGCTGACACTCTGAGCTCAAAAGGTTCGCCATCACTGGTATACATAATGCATGTATTCTGGTGTGAATTTTAACATACATTTAACATAGACTATTACCAAGGATACCTGGCTTTAAATATTTATTAGTGATGTGAACTTAAGCAAATTATTTAACTTCTCTGAGCTTTCATTTAGCTTGGGGGTAGGACTTGTGGAAACAAAAGTAAAGTTTTAGCATCCATGACTGCATACTGGGAAATCATTTCTAAATGAATTATCCTCACTTTAGACAATTACTGGATCTTTAGTTCCTTGCAGGCAGGGCTGTTCTTTGTCTAGTCCATAGCACATAGAAGACAGTTTCCTCTTATTTTGTCTACTCCGATTAATTCATTGTATGATCCTTAATCTCATTATTGAAGATGCATATTATCCCTCAAACGTAGTATTATAAACAAACCTTTTAGTATAGCAAATAGTATCAGTATAAATTGCCATTAGTCACCGAGGTCATATATCCCATGAAAAAAATATTTCCTCCTTAATCCATGTCCCTTCCAGTTACTGCAACATTGTCTGCTCCCCTTCACAGCGACCTTTTGACACATACTGCCTGTACTGCCTCCCCTCCCAGTTCTCTCTTAGAGCATTGTAGCCCACTGTTCCCACACTCCTTTGTCAAGTATCTCTTCTTTTTTAAAACCAGTTATTTATTGAGTTTTATTTATCTTTATTGTTGAAAGTCTTACAGATGTCCCCTTTTCTCCCAATGACCCCCTCCATCCCACACCCCACACCCCAAGGAGTATTTCTTGACTGCCAGGCATGCTTTTCGGTACTGAGGAAATAAACACGAACCTCAGAGATTTGGCCGGGCAGAGGAGACATAGCCCTTAAATAAGCAAATAAGTAAAATATAGAATAAGTCAAATGGTTATAAGTGCTATAAAAATATAAAGCAGAGGAGGGGGTGGAGGAGACGACTTAAAATAGGGGCGAGGGACTCCTCACTGGGAAGGTGAGCAAAAATCGGGGAGTTGGGAGTGAGCTGTGTGAGATATGGAAGGAGGCACTCCAGGCAGAGGAAGCTGCATGTGCAGAAGCTGCATGTGCAAGACGGGAGCCCGGAGGAGGCCGTAGTGGCTGGAGACCAGAACTCAGGGGAGACAGGAGGGGAGATTTGATCGCATAGGGTCTTACAGTCCTATATGGGATGGGCCTTCCTTTAGAAAGGATCGCTCTGAGGGCTGTACTGAAAATATCCCTGTAGGGAGGAGGCCTGGGGTCAGGCCTGGAGTCAGGAGGCTATTGGAAGATCCAGGTGAGGGATGTACTGGCCTAATAGCTAGCAACGCGGTGAGGCATGCCCCATTCTGGGTATATTTTGAAGTTAAGCCAACAGGATTTGCTGGTGGGTTGCAGGTAGGAACTGAAAGAAAGAGAAGAGTCAGGGTGACACCAGGATTTTGGCCTGAGGGACTGGAAAGGGGCAAACTGAGGAAATTCAGGGGAAGCCCGCTACATGAGCAATTCAAAGACAGAAAGGGAAAATGGAGTGTATATGACATTCTGAGCTAAGGTGAGGCGAGGTGCCTCAGGGCTTCAGAGCGTCAGGGCAGGACGGTAAGGACAGAAGTTCGGTAACTAGTAGTTTGCTGTGCCATACAGATGGGCAAAAAAGGTTATCTCTGATCATCTCTTATCGTGGGCAAGGCCCCTAATTCAAATTCTTCTATGTGATTAAAGGGGGCTGGGCAGAAGTTTCTCTTGAGCCTACAGTCTCTGTTGCCATTAGCTCAAGATAATCTGCAAACCACAGAGGCATATCCTGGGGTGACTCATTTGGAATCCCTGCAGTACTCAGTAAGACTGAATATATGATATCAGGGGAAAATAAATATATCTCGAGGCAATAAGTATGTAAATACTATTTGACATCTGGATCTGTTGAGACATTTTTCCTTTTAGTTCAAGGAAAATATTCCATTTCTATTCTGTTTTTTAAAATAAAGCTACCTAGAAAGTTTTGCCAAGAGCTCCGTGATATTTGCTTGCTTACTTTGACTGTGACCCATCACCATGGCGCAGCGTTTGTGCCCTTCATACAGCTGCCCATTGAGAAACAGGAAGGACTATTTGCAATTCTGGAACTAAACCAGCAGGGGGCCAACTAGGCCCAAAGTATATCACAGGATTCCTGCCACCTGGTAGCCAGCCTCCTGGTTGTTACTTGCTTGCTCTAAGGCAGTGGTTCTCAACCTTCCTAATGCCACGACCCTTTAATACAGTTCCTCA